CTATCTTTTGTATGTATAGCCTTTATTTGAAATGCTAATATCACTGGCATTGAAATGGGGGAGCAGCAAAAAAAAAAAAAAAAAAATCTGGTTTGGTGAAGGATCCCATGGCAACACTGTAATTATTGTGCATGGGATTTCACCTGATATGAAAGAAATTTTTATCAATGCTTCCAGGCCCCATCCTGGCTGCCTGTGACACCTCTTCAGACACGCTGCTTTAGGGGTGTCCTGGCAGAGGACATGCGCTTGTTCAACGAGACGCCACCCATGATACCGTATGATAACTGTTTTTATTTACAAGGCTTCCTTCTGCCATTGAGTATTTTATATCAGCTATCCTGCTCTGTCCAATTGGTTTGTACTGCTGTCAGTAAATACTGGAGGTGGTCCGCCTGTGCCAGGCATTTGTGGAAAAAATTGCATAATATTTGTTTTCACTTTCTAAATACATCTGCTCTGAGCTCTGTTTGGTGCCAGCATGGTTTGCAAAATTAAGCCCAGGAGATCTATGCACTCAGAACTGCACATGCTTTTATAAATATTAAGTTTTATGACAGGCTCATACAGCCGCTAATACCCATCTGGATTATGGATGGATAACAATATTTGTCAGAAGCATGACATTGTCATCATCTACAAAAGCACCCTTTTAGCAGGATCGTTTTTCTGCACTCCTCTTTCTCTCCCCATTATTAAACTGCACAGCACACTCTGGTACACACGAATTGTAGTCCTGACTCACTCAGGGCTGCTGCCACACAAGGTTACGGAGTTAGGATGAAGAGGAGCAGCCCACAGTGTAGCATAGACGTAGGGCAGTGGTAAACCAGAAACAGTATTGCTTTTCTCTTTCATGACCATTTCTAGCACACCGTATACAGACAGGTGCCTGAAATGATTTTGGAGATTTTGCTGTGAGACATACAAACACAAAAGAGAATTAAGTTCATGGTGAATGCTGAGGTGCAGCTGATTTCAGAGTCACTGGAGGAGCTCACAAGCATCAGGTGTCCTGTGCTTTTACAGCAATAGCAGTGGACTCTCAGGGGGCTTCAGCAGAAATCTCCAGACCCTCTGAGATGTACAGTACACTGGCAAGACAAACAGAATCAGCACCATCATGTGACTTTCCATCCCAAAGCTGTGTGCCTCCAGCATCACTTTCATAGCTTCGAAGTAGTCTACTTCAATGGCTGTGATCGATAACACAACCATCAAATAAAGTCAGTTCAGCCCAGGTCTGGCTATCTGATAACTTTACTTTGGGAATGGGATCACAACAGCTACCGGTGATGCTTCTTGACAGCTAATACTTCAATATATTTCATTTCTACTGATAGCTATTGATTGGGAGAGATACAGTAAGACTACAAAAGTCAGCTGGAGTATTGGTCCCAGTTACTGTTAGGTGCTATTAAGAGACACCTAATCTGTTGAGTGCCTGTGAAGAAGCAGAACTCAGTTGTGTTTCTAAGCCCAGGATATGTAGTACCAGCTATTGTTACAAGATAAAATAAAGAGCAAAATATTCTGAAAAATAAGTAAGGGCTGGGTTTCTTTTGGTGGCTAGGCTTTATTCTATTTGGAGAGAGAAGGGGGCAGATTTCCTCCCAGGGTGTCATATTTAATTTTGGCAGTTTCTGGCATTCCCAGTGTTGCTTTCTATTGTAAGGCCACACACTTCACTGAGACAAACATGAAGTGAACTTTAAAATATAAGGCACTAATGTGTGCAAGAGGAGCACACTTAATGCTGATTTTGATACACTATACTGTACAATGCTGAAAGTGTATCTGTACTTCTATTGGATAAGCTGCTTCAAGAAGTAGTAGAAGTGTCGAAGGAAGAAAATTAAAGGGACAAGAGCATCTCATGTTACACTATTATAACATTACATTAGTATTATTAAACAATATTATTTGTATTTGAGTTTCACCTAAAGATTCTGCATGAATTTCTATCACTACAAGGCTAAATCTAGGGGAGGGGGAGCTGATGAGGCTGCTGAGCAGTTCTAAAGGAGGGCAAACTCAGTGCAGAATGAAGATCAAAATTAGTCTTATCTGCTCTCATTTTCTTCACACCCTCATATGCTTGTGGCTAGTGTGCTCTCTCTTCTGTTTTAGTCTAAAGACCTGAGTACAGACTGTCAGAGAAGAGTGCATACAGATAAAACACTGCTAAGCCTTAGTATGAATAATTAGATTTGATTCACAACATACCTGTGAAATTTTATACAGGAACAGTCAGTGGATTGCATTAAGCTAAGGTTACGCATTTACCCCTCCTTTCTACTTATTATACCTGCCTCCCTAACAAATACTCAAAATTACTAATATATGTCTGAGTAAATGTACATAAAGTCATATCCAAAAAGACAAAAGACTACATTCAAAGCACATTAAATCATGAAATGAAGCACTTCAGAATAAGAAAATACAAGAATTATGTTCATCCATGTAACTTCACTCAGCTCCTTCCACTTCTCCTGTGTCTATACTGAGTTGGATAATTCTTCCTTTTTTTTTTTTTTTCGTCTGCTTTGTACACTGAATAAACAGTTATATACTTATATATGTATGTATATGTGCAGTGCAGGTGCCCTGAGCTTTCCACAGTTCATACCATCAAAATACACACTGATGAAACAGAATTTTCTTCCTTCAGGCTACTTGTGTTATTTTCCCTGTAGCATCTGGAACGGGCTGCCCAGGGAGGTGGTGGAGTCACCATCCCTGGAAGTCTTCAAAAGACGTTTAGATGTAGAGCTTAGGGATATGGTTTAGTGGGGACTGTTAGTGTTAGATTAGAGGTTGGACTCGATGATCTTGAGGTCTCTTCCAACCTAGAAATTCTGTGATTCTGTGATTCTGTGATCTGCCTTGATGTGTCAAATATCTTTAATGCAGATTGGCAGTTTTAGCAGTACCCATGGGGATCTGGGTGGAAATAAGTGGGGAGCTGAGAGGATGTGCAGCCTGTGGCCAGAGCATGGGAAGTGAGTGGAAAGTGAGCAGTGAACACAGCAAATGACAGGCAAATGGAGAATGAGCCCTCACCCACCAAGGCCCCAATCCCACAGAAACTCAGAGGAACCAGCATCTTTTCCCCAGTCCCAGCCACTCTCACACACTTTCCTACCAGCACATACTGCCCATGGAAGAGGTAAGCCACCTGATCATACTCCTCCATGTCCAGCTTGAGCAAAAGACCAGTTAGGTTTGCAAAAGTTAGGTTTGCAAAAGGAAACAGCAAGGTCCCCTAGGCTGTTGAACAGACAGTTCATTGTCTGTCAGTCTTCAACAGACTGTTGAAGGAATAGCAGCAATCCTATCACAGTTTGTTTCAACACTGATAGGCTACAATATCCAAAGAAGTCTCTTACACAAGTCCAGCTGAAATGGCAAAGAGATTCAGGCAGGCATTCTGCCCTCTTCTGTAACACTATTGGTAAAATATAGTTGCTTTGGTCTCGTGCAGTTCATGGAAAACATGAGTCCTTCTCTTGGCACAGGAACAGAGCTTGCTGTAGCACCCTACATCCATAAAAGTTTTAGTTTTTTCCTTCTGGGACCTGCTTTGTCACACAATAATATTATTGCCAACTCCACTGCTCACAGCATAATGCTGGTTGGAAGGGGTATCTGGAGCTCAGTGCTGTCTTCAAAGTTCAAGCAGGTTGCTCAGGCCTTTCCCACTCACATTCTGGATGAACATCTCCAAGGGTGGAAACCCCACAACCTGCCTGGGTGTCTGGCCCTGTGTTGGACAATGGTGACAGTGATTTTTTTTTCTTATACCTAATAGCAGGCTCCCTTTCAGCAACCTGTAGTTGCTGTCTTTCATCCTTTTGCTGTGTACTTTTGAGAGGCATCTAGCTGTCCTGCCCCTCGCTGTCCCATCAGGAAGCTGAAGAGCACCATTAACTGCCCCTACAGACTTCTCTTTTCCAGGACAAACAAAGCCACCTCTGCTCTCTTTGGGTGCCCTGTGCTCCCAGCCCATATCCATGAATTCACTCCAATTTTTAAGTATCTGTTATACCAGGCAGTCCAGTGTTGGGCACAATACTCCAGAAGCAGACTCAAAATTGCCTCACATGGGAAAAATCCCCTCTCTCATCCTCCTTACCACACCGTGATGCTGGCATTCATCATAACAAGCACATGCGGTTGACTTAACATTCAGCTTGCTGACCACAGGAGCTCAGGCCCTTTTGCTACAAAAGCTGTGCTCTAGCCTGCTGGAGTCTGTCCCATATGAAAAGCATTACATTTGCGTTTTTTCTATCAGCTGTAATGATAATTTTGCTGATGGCTGATATCTCTAACAATAATTCATCCAGACAGTTAATAATTCCAAGAGCTAAACCCCATTTGACAGGCCACATGTAATCTAAGCCAAAAGTGGTACTTCAATCCATGAACCTAAGGCCATACCACTGTCGCTCATAATTTCCTTTTGTTGTCATGTTTTTGTCATTTGCCTGTTCCCAGACATGTCTAGTATGTCGCTGAGGGTGACTTTTCTCGTAGAGCATTTGTCAGTAGCCAGTGAGTGTTTGCAATGGCAAGGGATTGTAGATTTGTTGTTAGAGAACTTGAAGAAACCCAGCTGAGAGCAAGGCATCTCATCTACATTAGATGGGTTTTTGGATTTTTTAATTTGTCTTTGCAAAAAATACATGTTCAACCTGTACCATGCTTAAAATTGAAGCTTTTTTTTTTTTTTTTTTTTTTTTAAATCATATGAATGAAACAATTTTTAAGTGATCTGTATTCTAAAAGGAACTCTAGAAAGTACATTAACCCAAGATAAAAATGCTCAGCTTTTGCATGGGATTGTAAAGGAGATTGTGATCTTTCTGTTGTTTTTCCCATGCATATTTTCTGAGTTTTATCTCTTTGCTGGAAAGTGTTACATTCACGTGATTTTAAGTGTTTTGTTTTATTTTAAAATTCTTCTTTTTAAATTTAGACACCACACACACTGATGATGATTTGGTATACACTATTGTGCTTTATTTTTAGTATTATGACAGATAATTTCTGAAGCAGCTGAATAGCTGTTCCTCATGATCTATAATGGTTTTTTTTGTAGTAAGCCTGCATAACACACTAAAAGAATGTTTTGTATCTTGTGAAACTCCTCTATGACTTACGAAACATTTTTGTATAATAAAATGGCTATAGACTAATTTTAACAAGTACATATGTATCAGCAGTTTTAATCCAAAATAATGACTACAAATTTCCAAGAAATCTATGTGTATATCCTGGCTGACATTTATCTGGCATCTTTTTTGCAATACTGAATTTTCTTTGGTAGTACATACATGCTTTTGACAATTTTTTTTTAACATTTTGCAAGTTACCTACATTGCTGGTATTGACTTAAAATTCCTACTTTTTACACTTATTTCTGGACATGTAATAAAGGAAAAATACAAAGTGGATGAATTGACAGATCAAGAATTGAAAATACTACAGGAAAATCTTTGAGAACTGGATCAGGTTGGTTTGGTAAAGACTAAAACACATTACAGTATGATTACTGTTAAATGCTACAAAATAAAAGTAGGCCTTAGCAGAGTAAACTAGAGTCAACAACTCCATCTCACAGTATCTTTCATGGTAAAGAAATTTAATCTTTCTCTTCTTTAGAAATTAAGCCCTGCAAATGTATTGATACAAAACAATTGTGTCTTTGTAAAATAATTTCTTTCTACAAACATCCAAATAGCAAATGTTTCAATTTTGATCTCTCTTTAGTCAGAAATCTACTTTTATCTTAAGCATTCTCATAGCAAAACAGGATGTGCATAGAAATGAAACAGAACATTGACATTAACGTTAAAACAACCAAAACCAACCAACCAAACAAAACAACAAAAAAGACAAAAACTTAGTTTCAGTTGATATCCTAGCAAAACTTGCAGATCTGATGTTACCAAGGAAAAAAAAAAAAAAAGGAGATGAGTAAGATGATTCGACAAACACTCAGATGAGTGAAAAGACACATCTTTAATTTAATATCCGTTGGATATTATTCTAATCCTTGCATCTCAAAAGTAAGAAGTAGAACCCGAAACAAACACAGGGAAGGGCAACAAAGATAATCAAGATTACTGGATGACATTCATTAAGAACAACTAAATAGGCTAAGGAGTCTTAGTCTGGAGAAGGATTCAGGGCCTTTGGCTTGATAGATGGAGAAAAAGCTGCAGGACATGATAAGAATATATTTACCACATTGAATGGGCAACACAGAGAAATGCTTTATGAAGAATCAGTTTAAACAACATGTTCATAACACAATCTGCTATGCCTGTAGTACACTTGAAATATTCCCTAACCAGCTATAGCAAAACAAAGTCATGGTGACTTGTGACAAGCACTCAACCATATTCAGTTTTCAAGAGCCCAATTCTCTCTTCTAGCATTTTTCAAAATATGTTAAAAATATTTTAACTTAACATCTGTGAGACTGGGAAGAATTTGTCCTTGTTGACAGACAGCAGCCATTTGACATAATGAGGTTAAACAGCATGAGGGCATAAGCAGGCAATTTGTAACAAAAATCACTGAAGAACTCTTTCTGAAGTCCCATGTGAATGTCTTCTGAAAAACTTTATTTGAAGTTGTTATATACAAAGCACCTTTCTGGCCATTAGGAAGACAACGCACTACATGCATCATCTACTACCTGATGGAGGCTAAAATATCTTCATTGCTGAACAAACTTTAACAAATGTGCTCCAGCCAACTGGTAGCTCCCTGTGCAAAAGTCTGATGTAACAACTTCCTATATCTTCAGAACAGAGTTAGAGTTAGGCAGAATTACACCAGATGGGAACATCTTTAAGCTGCATTCATTAATATCATTATACCTACACTTTAGTTCTCACTGACAGATGGTCTTTTCATTCTGAAGTGTATTTTGTACTAGACATCTAGATCAAGTAATAGAAACTGCATAACACTTCCACTAAAATGCCATGAAGAGGTGAACTGGGAACATATGTAAAGGAAACAGACACTCAGAAGTCAAAGTGCTTAAAGAACTCCCTCACCTACCTGTTCCAATCTGGAAATGTGAAATTGGGCTGGATTTCTGGGCATAAGAGATGTAAGATACCAAGACAGTTTCCTGAATTTGGCAAACTTGTCTTGTAGCAACAACAACATTCGCTATGACATTCAAACATCTCCTATTATAGCCTGATGGAGGGCATCTGAGGTAGTTACTGTAGTCGTTTTGCCTTTCCAGAGAACTTTTTCATACAAGGAATGAAAATGGGGTTATCAAGGTTAAAGGACTAGGAAGAAGAGACACAGGTCTGAAAAAATAGCTTTGTCATGGGTATAGCTAAGGTATGATTCCATTCTGGAAGGAAAACAAAACAAAGAAAAAAAATCAATTAAAAAACAAACAAACAAAAAAACAAACAAACAAACAAACAAACAAACAGTAGCTGCAAGATAAAGCTCTCAAGTAACACTTCACTAGCTGAAAGGGAAATGTAGCTTCAGGAAATGGAGGTTTGACCTAGATTTCACTGTCCAAGACAGTATTGCAAATGTGTACTAAACAAGCAAGTAAACAACAGAGAGCCCTTGTGCAGAAGCTGCCACCCACTGACAACTCACCTGGCAGAAGTCTTCGTACGAAAGATGTCATCTTGTGAGCCCCTGTTGACATTTGCCCCTCATCGTAACAAGCAGTCCCTCTACATTCTCTCACTAGAGAAATCTAGTGAGTGACCTACAGAGAGATGGTATATTCTGAAAACAGAGAAATACTACATGAGAGAAATGAAGAACTCACTTTGTAAGCAAAATGAACATACTCACTGGGTATGAAAATGCATTTAGGGAAAGTAAGTAAAAGTGCTACAGAGTCAAGATAAGTGACAGCATTACAGCATTATGTGGGGATTTCTAATATAACCATAGTCACTGGGACTCCTTCCAACTGGAAGCTGAATTGTTTCTCATACAACTTCAGTTAGCTTTTTTTTTTTTTTTTTTTTTTTGAAATAGAACTATCATAGCTAATAAACAGCTAAAGGCAAAGTAGCTTCTGTCTTCTCATCTTCTCTTAGCAAAGACCACCTTTTCTATGGATAAATCTTGCAATAAAATGAAGATAAAGAGATGATCAATTGATTACATCTACCTGATAAGAAACCCTACTCCAGCTGTTCCTGGAATGGTCAAGACCATTTCGTCATTTACCCTCCATTGGTTTTAAAGGAGGAGTGCAAATGAGACAGGGCATTTTCGTAATCTCAAAACAATCTTGAAGTCAAACTCTACCTATCTCAAAGAGGCTAGTGCACAGAAAATTTGCACTTAGAAAATTTGGCTTGAAAATCTAAAGACGTCTAAACTTGGTCAATTAGATGTTCAGATATCTAGAATCGCCATTTGCTTTTTGAAATGTAGTAAAAATATCTTATGCAAGTATTAGACTGAGTACGGGGACATCCAGTCTAAGCAAGTGCAGTTCAGTTACACTGATTTGAGTGTAGAATGGGAACCTCTTTGACAAAATGGCTGTAATCTACTTGGGATTTCGATGTGAACCCAAAGTTGTTTCTGGGGGTTGTTCTGAGAAAGTAAAAAGTTTAGCCCCAGGTTAATCCTCAGACATACTACAAATAAAGTTGTCTTTCACTAACTAAGCTAAAAAGAGAAGGAACTGAGTAAACAGAATGACCAACATGACAGAAATATCAGATGAGGACAAGGAATGTAAATCTTGATGTGACAATAGACTATACAGGACAAAATAAAGAGGAGGAGGAAATGACCTTCATTGTTTAGAAATATTGAATTAGAGAATGTGAAAAAGAATAAAAAGAAGTCCCACGAGTGATATTTTAATTTCTTAAAATGGAGATATTTATTTGTTAAGTAAGTCCAAATTATAAATAGCATAACATTTACCTTTGAAAAGTTCCATCAAAATTAAACAAAACAATGAGCTTGTCCCTTCTGATCATGCTCATTAAGACTCTTCAGCTATGAAAAAAGGCATGAACTACTATAAAACTGCGATTTGTTTCGGTCCACTAGCATGAATATTATAAATAAGATTTCCTTATAAAAATCACATGAGATGCTTGTGGTATATTTTGTAAAATGTGACTAGAAAAAGACAACAAGGTACTGTTAATAAATAATACATTCAATAACAAAGCAATCTTTGCTATTGAGAGACATCTACACATATCGGGGTACACTCACTATGAAACCACCTGAAAAAAGAGACATTCTTCAAAGGAGCACTGCACACTACTTGAAAATGAACATATTCTATTGACATAATAGAAAATACATTATTGCCAGGCAAAGAAATTCAACCCCTTAGTCCTTGTAACAGTGTTAGCCATCAGCAAACATTTGCTACATTGGAGAGAATTAGATTGAAAACCTAATCACAAGACTCTAAACAGCAACACACTTTGTGATGTTTAAAACACTCAACACAAGTACCTTTGCCCCGAGTGTGCCAAAATGATGGTGATTCAAAGAGATGTTTACCCAAGTGCTCGCATCATTTTGACACACCACTCAGCCTGTAAAGCTTACATACATATTAAATGATACAATAAATGTTACATGTCAGTCACTGGAGGTAAAACAAATCCATGGAAGTACACAGCCTCAGAGGCATAATGGTTTGCTTATCCACTTTAAAACCATCTCAAGACATTGAACTACCACATCACCATCACATTTTTCAATAAAGTGGGTAAGATAAGAAGGAATGCAAATCAAAATACTAGCATAACCCAAAGGCAAAAATCACCAGATAACACTGAAGTCCCACACCACATTGCTCCTTTAGAAGTGATGTCATCAATAGCTGATGCCAGTCTTGTGCGAGAGAACAAAATCTGCAGTTATGCCCAGTTCCTAAAAGACTGTAAACACCTTGTTTGTCCTCCCTGTGCTCCTGTACACCAGCATTACTGTAATTGCCACAGACTGATCCCAAGTCAACTTGTGCCAACCAAACACTGAGTTCCTGCCAAACATGTGTGTGTGGTGTTTCAAATTAAGCTCTATTTCACCACTGATTCAAGTGTCACATACTTGAGCAGTCCACCAGAAGGAAGGCTAGCCCTGGGCAAACAAGCCTCCCCTCATAACCAGCCTTGCAAGTAGGGTGTCCTGGTTTCAGTTAGCACAGAATTATAAGTAATTTATAGTAAATTTTATTTTACTATTTTATTAATAGTAATATATACTATTATTTCGTATTATTTGAGGGAGAAGGCAGAGTGATCCAGGAGGATACAGGGGTGGTGAAGGAGAAAGGGAGAGTAATCAAGTAAGAAAAATTATCTTCCCCTTTTCCCTCCACAGATTGACTCTCTAATGGAGAAAAACAATAGGTATAATTGCTAATAGTTCCCAAGATACTGTTTCCAAAGTACAGAGTCCACGATGTTACTGAGTATAAATACCAAGTTAGAGTCATGACCAGATATCTTATCGTCTCATAAGCCATTGCTATAATACTCAGTACCATAATGATCTGAAACCAGGGCCCAGAGAGGATAAACAACACTACAGAGAGAAAATATGGAAAATAATGTACTATAATACTCAATTTGGAAAACAGGCGCAGCAGAGTTGAGATTAAAGCAATCAGCATCATGACAAGTGACTATTAAGCAGGTCTAATCCTTACACCTATTTTAGTTTAACACACTCTGATCAGATCTGCCGTTATCTCAACCTTTCGGGCCCCACGTTGGGCGCCAAAAAGGCTGTCGTGGTTTAACCCGGCCGGCAGCTAAACACCACGCAGCCGTTCGCTCACCCTTCCCCCTCCCTCTCTGGGACGGGGGAGAGAAATGGAGAGTGAAGCCCGTGAGTTGAGATAAAGACAGTTTAATAAGACAGGAAAATAATAATAACAAAAATAATAATAACAATAATAATAATAATGATACAATGGTGATAATACGAAAGTAATAGTATGTACAAACAAGTGATGCACAATGCAATTGCTCACCACCCGCTGACCGATGCCCAGCCTAACCCCGAGCAGTCCGGCCCCCTCCCCCCAGCTAGCCACCCCTATATATTGTTTAGCATGACGTCAGATGGTATGGAATACCCCTTTGGCTAGTTTGGGTCACCTGTCCTGGGTCTGTCCCCTCCCAGCTCTTACTGCACCCCCAGCCTGCCCGTTGGCAGGACAGAGCAAAAGGCTGAGATGTCCTTGGCTTAGTATAAGCACTGCTCTGCAACAATTAATGCATCGGGGTGTTATCAGCACTCTTCTCATCCTAAGCCAAAACACAGCATTCCACCAGCTACTAGGAAGAAAATTAATTCTGTGCTAACTGAAACCAGGACATAGGGTCAGATATAAAGCGGGAGGTCTGAGATGCACGGATGGTGTAACAGAGAAAGTGAGAGCAGGGACCTTGCAGCTACATGGGGACGCAAGCAGAAGCCTGTCAAGCTATGCTTTCTCTGCTGCTCTTATTCAAACAACCTACTTTGTTCCCAAAGCAAAACACCAGAGGCTCCCTAGGCCCCAGAGGCTGCAGCAGGCACCCTAAGCCCCTGTGACCAGGCAAGTATTTCAGGACTGCAATAAACCACAGTCACGTACTTCTTGGTCTGGCAGTAGATGTTAGAACTCTGCAGGCAGGAGACGCGTGACATGGCATCGTTAGTGAGCCCCACTGATGTCCCAGCCAATGCATCCCTGCCAGCCCAAGCCTGAGAGGTGTGATCTGATGGAAGTGCAGATACTCCCTTACAATGCTAACAGGAAGCATATCTGACCTTAGGAAGAGAGATACTCCTCTTGTGAGTTTGCTTATTAACATTGTAATGGTAAAGCTTACATTACCAGAATCTGAGTCTGGTCATAAAAAAGGAGATAGAGTGAAGAGAATACAGTTGTCTATAAATTTCTAGAAATATCTTCTTTCCATTCACACATTTCTTTTCAGTGTTTTCACAACACAGAGCTCATACTAATAATCCACCTCATGGACACAACATTAAAAGAAAAACACATGCAGTCTTTTACATTCAGCATCCACGTGCTACATTTCACAGTTCATTATCAAAGTCAATGTACCACTCTAGAAAAAATCACAGCGAGGCACCTTTAATTTCCTTCATATCTTTGTTTGTTTGCTTTTCCCTTGAGCTTTCAGAAATAGCCAGATGGAACCAGCACTGGCACAGGTTAAAGCAAGGTGTGTTGTATAAATAGGAAACATAATATCTAATAAGTCCTGAAAGTTACACATGAAGGCAGATTTTCTGTGTCACCTTGAACTGCCAGAGCTGTAAATGACTCTACATTTCATTTGCTAACTTAGATACCCAAATTTGTCCTTGAATACATTTTATTAAAAATGTAGGTTTCTAAATGAGAAGACGTATCTACGCTATGCTTGAGTGCAAAATAAGAGCTCACAGCAAACGTTTGAAATTTGCACATTCAAACTTCTTGACCTCAACCTGTAAGGGGCTAAAGCATGGCATGTAAATGCTTTGCACCATCTTCCCTTCTACAACAAAGGAAGAAGGGTAGTAATTTGGTTACCACAGCAGTTGCACATGAAGTTTCTTCTGTTGTTAAAAGAAGCCCAGACACTTGCTGGCTTGTCCCTCAGCATGCTCAGGAGGCTGCAGCTCAGGTCCCAGGGCAGGATGAGGATTTGCTTGGCCAAGGGCTGGTCCCCAGCGCCTGGCACTGGAAATGAGCTGCTCATACCAGCCATCAGCCCCTAGCACTACCTCAATCTCTGCACAACACAAGGTGCAGCCCCAGCAGCAGTCCTGAGCTTTGCCCAAAGCCCCTAGAAGTTCACAAGCCAGGAGTCAGCCCCCCAGCACAGCTGTTGAAGTCAATCACTCAAGAAAAGTGCTAAACCCCCTTCATCTAAAATGCAGAGTACTAGTAGCTCTGGAGAGGAACAGAAATCTTACAAAGTGCAATTCCTGTACATTACACTTGGAAATAACTTACGTATTGGACACACAGAAAGCATAGGCTAATTCCCACGTGAAAAAAAATATGCAAGTGCTCTCTCAGATGATAGATGTGCATTCTTCTTATTTAGAGATAGGAAATTACATTGTATGTTTGATATACATTTCTCATGAGAATCTGCAAGACAGTCAGAGTTGAACAAACAAAAAACAAACAAGAATGTCAATGAATACATGTACCAAAAACACAAAGACAAGTAGACATGCTGATTTCAGTTGTTTACGTCCTTTTCTAATCTAGTAACTGTTGTGAGACATACAATGAAAATAAAAAACATTTTCACATCTCAGTAGTGACAGGCCAATATTATGAAGGTTTATTAAAGAATCCTTTTGTATTGAGGTTGAAATTTGGAAATGAGTTTGCATTTTACTGATGCCAGATTTGACTATGGGTGTACAAAGATTAATGCAAAAATTCAAGATCTGACTGCAGGCAATTTAAGCTGAAACCTGGACACTTACAGGCAGACTGAAATAAATAAATAAGAAAGACAATTTCTTCCCTGCAAAACTTATCAGAAAATAAAAACTGTATTGGAATAGCAGAAGGAAAAAGATCATATCATTGCATTATCAAAGTCTAAAAAAAATTATTTGACAATGAGTGGAAATACCAGTAGCCTTCAGATCCACCACAGACTAAATTACCAGAGGATATCTAATTCTCAGATACAGTTACTCAATGGTGAGGTTTCACACTGAAGCAAAACCCTTTTTTCATTTTCATCCAGCTCACACAATATACTTGGCAGACTGAGCAACACACGCATCACTTCTATGCAACTTACAGAAATGGTTTCTCATATAGGACATGACTAAGGTTATAATTTGATTTCAGACTGTGATACCTTAGTGCAGCAGATGTTTGAAATGCAGTAAGATATTTGCCTTACAACAACAACCAAGAATAGCAGAAAACACTCATGGTCTGCATTTGTAGGGGGGAGGAAAAAAAAGCAAAAAACAGTAGCTTACAGAATAGGTACCTTTAACTAAGCAGCATAACCTGGCACCACTTTAAAACAGCTTTATTTAAAATTTTTATAGGATTAATTCCCTCAGGTTTGAGAACAGACAGATGATTAAAATCTATGCAATTCTATTGATTTGATTGGAGTTGGAGTGGTAGAAGAGAGTGGAGAATTTGGCTTATAAATTAGGGTCTGGGCAGAGAGAAGAAAACCTGTTTTTCTCATTAAAATTCATGAGTTTTTCACTTTCTTACAAGCTATGCATTATCTGAAGGTAATGTCCTTCTTGCACCTACTAACCATGAGGGTGGATTTTAACCTGGAAGCATAAATTCAGTCAAAGAAAAATCGCTGTTTGCTTGCTTGTTTTAGCATTCAAAAAAGATAAATCTTAGTATTTTGTAAAATATATTTTTGGTGTTTTGTTTTGTGTTGTTTCACATTACTTTCAGAATGTAAGTTAACTAACTCTTAGAACATCTCTTAGTGAGCTAAATGTAATCCCCATTCACCTGAGAGAGCAACCACAGCAGGAAGAAAGATATCAAACACTCAGAGAAGTGCCACCAGAAATAAGAAAGACTCTGTTTTACTTTCTAGTTAATACAGTAATTAATACTAGAAAGACATGAAATGCTGCATACAAGCTTAGTCACACTCAACATTAATAAACCTAAAATGTTCTGTTTCTGTGTTGTGTTTTTAGATTTAGTGCCTAGAGGAAAGTTCACTGCAGTCAATAAACAGAGCAGAGGAAATTTGAAACAACTTGTGGACTTAGCAGGTTTCCTCCCCAGTACCACAAGAACTGAGAAAATGAAAAGTGAGAGAATAAAGTCATAATATCTATTAATAACTTTAAGTCTCAGTTCATCAAAGATATTGACATATAAGCTTGTATCTCCTCTTCACCACAGAGACTGCTTTCTTTCTTTTTTTATCTCGGTTTTGATCTTCATCTAGTTCTTTAGACACCACTACTAAATGGCAGTACATAAACAGACTTCAGAAGACCTGAACCACTCTCCTGAGTTGTTTTCTCTTTTTTTTTCTTGACTTGAGTAGCAAAGCTGGAAGTGCTGAATAGCTTGAAAACCACTTGGTCAGTTACTAATGTGTTATAGCAAAAAAAAAAAAAATTAAGGGCTGGGGGGGGGGGTAGTGGGGCTTTTTCATATACAAATGGGTGATTTTTTTTTCAATAAATTATTTAAAAGTAATTCTTAAATATACACAGCAGAGTTTGAGTTATAAACTGCAGTCTATTATCTGTTTTATATTTGTATAACTGTGTGCCTATATATTATTTGGATAGTTTACAAACACCTCTAAAAAGGATAAATAAGAGTTTTGATTGATGCTTCAGTCTGTTTTTAATGCAAGGTGAAGAGCATGAACAAAGCAAAAGTCTCCTATTTCTGCTTGCACAGGGTAGAATTTTTGAAAATGCTTATGGGTTAGTAATTTCAAGAGCACTGAATGCTGACCTAATTCAATATTGGCTCAATGGAGATTTCATTATTCATATAAATAAAAACAGTGTTTTTTGGAAGTCCTTGCCCTATGCATCATCAGATGTTCACCTTTCATTGTCCCCTTCACATATGTAAGTCTCATACTCAGATAAAGCGGCTTTAATACACTGATAGTGCAACAGTATGACCACAGAAGACTCATTTTAAGTCACTTCAATGTTCATTTCAGTTTCCAGCACATTCAAAGCCCAGTCCTTTAAAGCTGATCAACATGTGATCTTCAGGATTGAAGTCCATACTTGAGGAGCCCTCACATAACCAACAAAAGCCACTCAGGATAGAGGAGACGCTGAGCAGGCAGAGCTGCAACTAACATCTTTTCTTTCCTGCCAGTGCCATACACTCCATACCGCCTGCTGAAACTCTGCAACTCAAGAGGCAGCACTCAACATGCATGTTTGCAGGAGTCCTGCCAGACTACTCCAAAACAGCTTTCTCCTATAAAGTAGACATCTTCTGTCAGATTTGCTGAGCACACTAAATGCTATGAATATTTAAAAGGAAAACATGCACTCTTGAAAAAAAAAAAAAAAAAAAAAAAAAAAAAAAAGGAGCATTTATTTTCAATGTAGGGATAAATAGGAATAAGTAGGAATAAAGCATTCAAGCATTTTCTACAAATATATATATAAATATATACGTATGCAGAGAAGACAAAGAAGATGGGCTTATAGCACTCTTGCAGCATGGTGAGATCCTGGTCTTGAGATCTCCAAGACTCAAACCTGGGTCTCAGTCCTCCAGATGACGTTTTTACAATCAAAATGCCCATTCCTCTGTGCATCTGCTTTTAGTGAAAATGTTTCCTTTACTACATAGGTAATCAAACAAAAACAAAGCTTCTCATGGAATATGTAGATTTCCTAGCTTCTTGTTAAGAATTTAGTCTAAAACACATTATGCCTCCATAATTGCCCCTTCCAGAAAGCAGAAAATGAGGCAACTCATCTTTGCTATGGGCCCCATCTGACCAAAACAATTCATTGAATGTACAATTAGAAATCACCATGAACTATTCAAAAGGTACTTTCATGTTTTATTGAACAGAGGCTTATTCATAAACCCAGAGAACAATTATTTGTGGTGATGCTTTCTTAAGCTGCTTTGGATTCACTCACAATAGTTTTATCTAGTCTGAAAGAAACTTGAAAGGTGAAGACACCAAACAACACAGCAAATTCTAGGTGGTTTGTGTGCTACTGTTTAATTTTCCTTAGAGGAACCAAAATAGGATAAATATTCATCTCAACAAAATGCTGACCGACTCAACAGCAGCAGGGAGTACCTGGGGATTATGTTAAGGAACTTTTGAGACTTGCCATGGATCAAAAGTGTTCCAGGGTGAGAAGCAGGCTGGTTTCCAGATAGATCCTTTCCAGCAAGCCCAGCACTTCTGGCTGTGAAGAAGGAGAATGCTAACCTTGCAGTCCTCTAGGACCTGCTCTGCAATGGCACTTGCTGAATCGCACCCACAGCAGAACCAAATGGAGTCGCTCCAGTGACTGCCCAGCGCCAGCCGCAAGCAGCAGTCCATGCTGTCCTGACCATGCCTGCTGACACACAGGTGAGGACTACTTGCTGAACACTGCCAGTGCTGAACTCAACGCTCAGCTGAACTCCTCAGGCCAGGCTGGTCTCATCTATGCAGGCTGTGGGGAACGGGTCTCAGATGCCCAACAAAGCCACAGCAATATATGCTTATAAGCAAACTGTGTGGCACTGGCAAAAAAAAAAATAAAAAAAAATCCTTATGTCTTGCCTTTCACCACTTAGCCTTACAAACACAGCTGGGGCGTTTTCACAATCCTATGGAGACCTCAATAAATATAGCCCATGTTCAGGAAAAGCACGAATCACCACCTGGAGGTGCCCATCTCTCTCCTGACTGCAGAGAACCCACACAACCATTTTCAATTAATAACACTTTTTTTTTTTTTGAACCTCTTTTCACAGCTGAAAAGACAGAGCGAGATTCATTTTTAAGTCTATACATTAAGCTAAAGAGGCTGAATACACTAGGGCTCAACCTGCTGTAATAAAAAATGAAGGAAATGAATAATCAGGGAGGAATAAGTAACTGTTTAACTTCTCGTTGCTGCCAAGGAAATATCAGCTAGGAAGAATAGGTTATGCCTCCTATTGGGTATTTATATTTCCTTTAGAAAAATGAGTTTGCTGGTATTTAACAAACAGGCCACTAGGTCTAATTGTTCTGTTCAAAAACTACTAAACAGTCAAACATACAATAAATTCCAAATGACAAATTCTGGGAATTCAAGGAGCAGAAGTTATTCTACAATTGGTAAGAAAAACACAGCCTTCTTCAATCCTCTTTTCGTTCTCCAGTGATAGAATTATCATTACCTAGTAGAAGTCATATTTTCAACTTGCAGCTAACTCTTATTGGATATACCAATTGCTTTTGAAGAACACATGGTTCAAAATGATGAAGTATATTAGCTAACTTCATGGCTGATTTTTTTAATCACACTTCTAAGCCCAATGAGGATGGTCAGTAGAAAGGAGATGGCAAAGAGGTCCTTTAGGATGACCTGGGGCATAAATACAAGCCAAGATGATCCCAGATGGAGGTCTGAAGGGAACACATGATATTCGATGCAGATCCCATTACAGAGGTCACAGCACACCAGTGCAGCCACAGCCACCAGAACATCCCCTAAATAGCCACAGAGCAGGGGACCAGGCATTTCAGAACAAGGTTTGATGTTGTTTTTTTAGTAAGAAACATCATCTAACAGAAATCTCACCGTATCCTTTCAAGAAGGAAATGGTGACTCAGGATAATAGTCCATTATACTTTTGTTTCAAGGGAAATGGAAGGAGAGATGGATTCTTTGCCATCATACTTCCATTGTATTTCCTTTTCTGTTTAATAATTTTCCCTATCTCATAGCAATAGTTGCCATCGCATTTTGCTTTGCTGCCTTCCTGCAGAAAACCTTAGGTAGGTCATAGGCAGTCCATTTTTCAAAGTCATTAACAAAACAAAATGTTCTAAAGTTGCTTAGAACTGGGGATCTTTATCAAAAATTGCTACAGTCCAATTTGTTACACCAATGATGTGATCTTCATTTTTTCCATCCTCATCCAGCTCTTCAGGAACTGCTTATCCTTTGTATAACCTGGACTTGTTCCAATACTTACTAATCTATCAGGCTAAAGAAGAAAACCAAAGCAGGCAGCAGATGATGAGATAGCATTCACCTCCTTCACTGTCCTCTTTTCTAGATCAAAAGTTTCCTCATGCCTATTCTCATTGTTAATTAGGGGATAGAGTGAGCCAGATATTAAGCCAGTTCCATGAATATGTATGGAGGATTTTATGCAACTACCACAGTACAGAGATTCAGTTTAAAATAGCATATTCTTTGCTTAGCTTCAGTTTCCACAAAGATGCAAACTCAGCACTGAATATTACAACAGATGAGGGGAAATGGCCTCTAGTTGCACTAGGGGAGGTTTAGGTCAGATATTAAGATAAATTTCTTTTTCTCAAAGGGTTGTATGGCACTGCAACAGGCGGCCCAAGGAAGTGGTTGAGTTACCATCCCTGGAGGTCTTCAAGAAACGTGTAGATACAGAACTTAGTAGAGTGGTTTAGTGGTGGGCTTTAGTACTTGGTTAAAGGCTGGGCTAGGTATCTTAAGAGGTCTTTTCCAGCCTGAATGATTTTATGATTCTATGACACCACTCCGATGTCACAGGTGAAACAAATGGTGAAAGTGTTTGAGTCAAAAAAAAAAAAAAAAAAGCTATATTCTAGAGAAGTTAAGCTGTAACAAAGGCTTGGACCTTTGGCTTCTGTAGTTGTTTCACCCCAAACTTGATAATTTTCATATCAGCAAAAATACAGAAATACAGCATTCACAAAGAAGAGTTTTTTAAATTTTAGAAAGGTCTGTGTGAAATTTATAAAAAAATTTATTCTCATGAGCACATATAATCATTTTTTACGATTTTAGTCTGCTGGATTATCTGTTTTAGAGTGAGCTTCAAAATATTCATAATAAACAGAAAGGAGGAGTTTTGCATAGCTTTAGAACAAGTTTATACATTGGCCTTATTTTACTCAAAAACACACAAGTACCCAAAAAGATTGTGCCTAGAGTGATTTCAGTGCCAAATATCCCCCATGCACAGTTCTTGTAAAGGGTTTTAATTCACTCATCTTACAAATAATTGGCAGTACTTCCTATGCAGAGCAATGATTCCAATATTTCTGTATCTTGGCACCTCTATGATAAAATTAATAACTAAGAACCTTAGCAAATTGTTTGGCAAGCCCAAACTAGTTTTTATCGAAGATGAACTGCAGTAGCTTTTAACCTGGCACAGACTTGTGCAGCTCTAGCTGCACAAGTTTCCAGAGAAACTCAGCGGCTAGCAGTAGAAATAAAGGCGATAAAGCAGGGAATTTCACCAATAAAATCAAGATTTCAATTCACTTAAAGGAAAATTCACTTGAAGGCAAGGCTGGATGGGGCCTTGGCCAACCTGATCTAGTGGGTGGAATCCCTCCCTGTCTATGGCAGGGGCAATGGAGTTAGATGATCTTTAAGGTCCTTTCCTACCCAAGCCATTCTATGATTCTATGAAAATATAGCAACACAAGACTTAAGGGCACTATTATCAGTGGGATGAAATCAACCAATAGGAAAATTCCAGAATTATGTAATTACTCTGTCTAAAGTTTGCTATAATTGTGAGATGCTGATTTCTCTTGGTTAATGCCTATATTAGCCTCCTGGGTCTGACTGCACCTGTGCTTGAACAGCAGTCTTATTCTGTGGTGTAGCCTTCCTCCCAAAATGGGATACTTTTTCTATCCCTTACATGTAATTCTACATTTCATATCCTATACACGTGACCCACTTCCCCTAGACCTAAACCAGGTAAGTCTCACCCTAAGCAACAGACAGGGTGCACTGCATTAACTCCGAGATTTTTGTCAGGCAGCTGCCACTTTCACATTCCCAGATGCTTTTTCATTTTCTCTGTGACTGCTCTCGCCACAAAATACTTACAGTACCCTCCTGTATCCCATTTTTACTTGTAGGTTAAAAGTCTACTTGCTGGCCAGTGTCTGCATGGATTGACAAATCAACCAAGCTGGTATTTTTTGAGTTCACACTGTAGACTTGCTCTCAAAAGGGACATTTATTTTTGATTCTCTTCTTTCCTAAGTTGACAGTCTTCTGAAAGTTACAGAAAATTATTTATCCTTGAAGCCTTTACTTCCCTGATAAATAAGGTTGTCATCTGAAGATGCAGTTATATTCACTATAGTTAAATGCAAATACAGCTAGAATTATTGATTTCTTCAACACCAGCCACACTTACCACACATCGCTTGGGTCTCTTCTGTCCCCATGATTTTTTTAAACCTATCATCTTGCAAACCTCAGTATTGCAGACATCAAAAGAGACTCACAAAGACCACAGGCTACAGGTTCAGTCTGCTTCAGTCTTACAGAGACAGGGAATGAAACAGCCCCAGATACCCAAGGTACTGGTTGCACATAAACAAGACATGTTATGAAATACTGCACTGAGTATGAAGTCATTCCTGTGAAAACCCTCACTTTCTCTTCTTCTACTACTCAGATTATTTTCCCAGAAAAAGGGAAAAAAGATTTCCAAAGTGCTGGATAACCATCAGAGGGGTTCAAAACTGAATTCCCAAGCACTGGTACAAATGCCAAATGGTGACTGGCGGAGAGGCAGTTCTCACTACTTTCCTCATTCCCCTGCAAACCCAAGGAAACATTGCCATCCTTCTTAAGTGCCATCTTAAAACATGTTTTGACAGTTGTTTTCACAGATAACATCTTTAAAGCACCAGGAAGTGCAAAGCTTGATACATCTAATAAAAACCATATAGGCACCTGTTCTTCAAGAAAGGCAGCTCTGTAAAAATTTGCCAGTAAAGAAAATATTTTGCTTTCAAATCCTTCCTTGCTGAGTATCCACATTATAGACAAGACAAACATAACCCAAGTGAATGAATTATCAAGTGATGTGATATTGGTCTGTTAATTGTACTTTTAAAAAAGCATAAGCAAAAGTGGACTGTAATAAAATGGGTTATAGAAGCACATTCAGATTTTATCAGAACAATCTCTAAAGCAGCATTTAATCCAAATCTCCACTTCGCAGTTTAGAACTGCACTGTAATTCTGTGGAACAATGCCCACTTTATGCTTGGAATATTCACATTTAGAAAGATTTTATTCTGAAACACATTTAAAAAGCAAAATAGTAATTTTTTTGTTTGTTTCAGTGTCCTACATAAATAGTCAAATTATTCATATTTAAAGAAGAGCCAAGTTTTTTTTTTCTTTTTTTTTTTGTTTTGTTTTTTAATTATATCCATATAACTTGCAGCTGGTAGTCTACAAAGAGAGAGGTGTTAACACATGATAGGACACATCCCCCAGAACGCTAGCATTTTGGAGCTAAAACAGGTAGCAGAGGAAATTGTTGTGGAAACCTGATGACCGTTTTGTTGTTTCAACACTTTGACTAGAATTTCAGCTAGTAATGATAGAAGAAAGAGAACATTAGTTTGGATTTTAAAGTTAATGGTGATAACATCTTGCAGCTGAAATCGCACTGTGGACTGAGCTGGTTTTCTCTTCTTGTCCTACAGTGCTAAACCAAAGCAAACAAACCAAAAGATTTCTCATTTATATGGCAATAGGATCATCTGCTGTCCAAGTAATACCCAAAAATAAAACAGTCCTTTAGGCACTGTACTGACCGGAGCAGCCGGAGTGCAATGTGCACACTTATGTAACTTACTGATTGCAAGGAGAAAGGCAGCATTACGTAAGTGCCTGCCTTTTCCTTGCATATTTTTTTGTTTGTTTGTTTGTTTGTTTGTTTTTTCTTGCTGGCTATGTATTTTTTCAGTGCTCCCAAAAGATGTTTTATTTTTCAGACTCTCTTTAACAAGAGACAATCTTGCAAGAAAAGTACAAGTCTTTAAGGCTAATGTTACAATCCAAACAGAAGAGCTAGTTGCACAAAGAGAAAGGATTTTCAAAGTTTCAGCTCATTTTAAATGACACATTCATTTCTGCAGTTTTTCTGCTTCAAGCACATGGAGAACCTCATTCTGCATTCCACTAAAGACCTCAAATCCCCTTGATAGTCAGTGAACATCTGAAGTCCAAATGAACACAGAATTAATCACAAAGGCTGGACAGCAAAACAGGCCAGGAACAATCCCTGCTACAAAAGTCACTGTGGAAATCTTGCAGCAGGTCAACTGAAATCTTGTTGCACTTCACTTCTGCTTTTGTAACACAAGTTTTATTTTCAAACCAATTTCCCTTAGCCAGCTCTTGCCCATAGCATAGCATTAGCATAGTTATAAGTGCAATGACCTAAACTATCCTGATAAAGCCTACAACAGGGAGATACATCCATTCTCAGTAGCAGGGCATTCCCAGGACATTCTTCTACCAGATTCTTGACACCCTTCACTCTCCCAAGTTTTTGGAGCAGTTGATGGTACTCAGCTCCTCTGGCTTTCACACCTTTCCCCTTTCTTCCATTGGAAAACAGAAAAATGGAAAAAGAAAGAAACAAAGAATTTTGACAACACACACACTTTCCTCTATAGCCACCCCTGCCCCCCACCCCTCTCCACACACACAGAGGAAAATAAAGAGAAAAAAGGGAGGTTTTATGAGGAGCCAATCTGGAATGAAATGGATTTTTGTACAGACAGTCATATTTGGCACTGTCAGCAAAAGCTTGTGGGTGGCCCTGTTTCTCTCTGAGCCTTAATGCCCTTTTTGCACTGGTCATTTAAAAATATCACCCAGAAAGTTCAGCTGTGTCGCTTATGACATTATTTTCACAATACTGCTGAATGGACTTGATGGAGAGATTTGTTTCCCCCCACTCCAGTTCCATAAAACGCTATACATTAAGGACGTACTCCATTTGGCCTTCAAGTAGCATTTGTACGGTCCATGCAGATCCGTGATTACTTTCCCTTTAAAAAGAATCAACAGAAAAACAGAACTCTCCGTTGGAGAGCATGGAAATTAAAAACTATTTGATCTTCCAAACTGACTGCTACAATCCTTAGGCAGAAGACGTGACTAAAGGGTCCTCACATTGTTCTAGCTGCATTCTCAGTACACCACTTTTATGAAGGAACCAGAGCTGTAGAAATTCTTCCGGCATGGCATGAAATCCAGAATCAGGCAAGACATTGTCATAGTAATGATGGCTAATAAACTTCCCGTGCAGGTCCACTGAGAATGGCCAGAAGCCATAAATTGTTACTTCTTCACACAGACCAAGGGCAGCACTGACTAGGAAAAGTCCTGTGGAAAGACGTTTGGCATGGATACCTTTGCTCTTCCAGAACTTGCCAATGTCACGCAGGAAATTGGGGTTGGCAAAAAGCACTGCCTGCTTGGCACCGAAGTCCTCCAGGGTGTAGTAGACACGTAGGGAGGGTCCTGTCCCTGTCTTCATCGAGAAGGCTGGCATGTAGATGTAGCTGTGATTATACACCTTCACGCTGTCCACAAATGCTTTTCGAGACCAAAGCAGATTCTGGAACCTGTAAAACAAGAGAGAAAAGCATGTTGATAACACAAAACATTTTCTGCTTGTTTCAAAATCCAGCTATGAACTGCTCTTCATAAACAGATTTTTAGCTCATTGCACGTCTTTCCTGAACCCAGGGAAAGTCCTGACAAAATTCAATAATTTGTTTAGTCCAAAACCAGTATTTTATCAAGAATATAATCTTTCCTTGCCATATACTTCTGGACATGCCAAGATGCACAAGACATCTGGCAGGAAACTGTAGGCTGTACACACACACCAAGGCCTTCACTGATGTTTGACATTAAATAAACCACCTTCAGTAAATTATTAAAGTACCCTGAATAAGCACCACTGGAAGTAACTGACAGAATTGTCACCAGAGTGACAGGTAGAATCCAATACCTAAAGCACAAACTTGTTAAGTAATCAGAGCATTTGCTGTTCTGAGGTGTGGGCTACACTGGAGAATACCTCTGCATGAGAAATTCACTATGATTCACCCCTGATTACCTGTTTCCTCTCCAGAATCCACGTACTCTTCAAAGCACCAGTAGGTCATGATACACGAGCTTGAATAGGATGCCAGATGACCACAACAAGCACCAGATAAAATTACAGCTGAATGTAATTGCCAACTAAAAATACAGTTTCCACAGCATAGAAATGTCTCATGAACATGTCAAGTTCTTAGAAGTCTGCTCTGGCAGCAAACTCAAAATATTCATAGGAAGTGAAAAATTTTTTGTTGACATTTTCAAAGTGCAATATTTGGTCTCCGGATTTGCCCCAAGTTCCTTCAGATAGAATTAAAGTAGAGATGTTCTAAAGCAAACCCTCTGAGATCTGCATGGGTCTTCATTACTAAGTGTTCTTCTCTATAGACCAGCTCCTACTGCGCGGAGCAGATAACTTAACAAAACCCTTTCAAATAAATTGATTCAACCTGAACATACAAAGCAAATAATACTAATAAATTAAATAATAATAACAATAATAAAAATAATAATTTCATAACATTGAATTTGTCATTCTTTTCTGTAGAAAGAGATAAGATAAGTAGAAGGCCAGCCAAGACCAAAGTGCCCTAGCAAAAATTCATTGTCTGGCTCTGCCTTCTTGTATGGGCCCTCTCAGACCTTTAAGTAAGCATTACCCCAAACAGCTTTACCATTCTCTGTTCCCAGAACACCCTGTCAGATCATCAGGTCTAGGAGTTGGGCCAATCCTAGCAAAGCTGTTCCATTTTCATCAGGACACACAGTCACCGAAGGGGAAAATAATCTCTAGCTTAATATTTTCAATATTCACTTATACACTCAGACCCTGTCCTTATAACTCTCTAGTTGTTTATAAAAGGTAGAATAGGGTCTGTAGCAGGTTTTAGGAGTATCACTCTCCATGATGCAGGGAGCCCACTGGGTGGTGGGAGATGCAGGTTCAAACTTCCTTTCACAACACAGGGAACCTGAGCACACAACTCCCACTGTCTTGAAGCAATGGGGTCCTTTCTCCTTGGTGCAGGGGAAAAGAGACAGCCCCTCCGCCAGTCCTGGAAGTCGGGTTTAATCATGTCCTTTTCCACTTACAGCTGGTTAACAATTTTCACTTCAGATGGCAAATAGATATGGTTATTCTACAGCTGCATTATTCAGCAAATTTACTATTCACAGAAAAGCACTGTGCAGCTCTAAGATGAATACATTTAAAATGCTCAGATACAGTCATAGAAAGACAGGGCTGTCTCTGAATATTCATTTGCCATCATTGCCACAACACATTCACATTTATTCTACATGAATTTCCCAATATGCTTTAGAAGTAACAAGAAGTGAATGGCACTGCTATGATAATGGTGCACAGGGGGGGACTTCATGCAGGAGGGATGGCATTTGTCGCAAAATTGCAGGCCGTCCTTCAGGAACACCACTTCCTGGAAAACTGTGCCTTTTGCAAGTGATCTAGATTGCCAAGTTGCCAGGCGTCATGCCCAGTTCAACAGATGGACATTATACAGGTGGCCAGGAGCCCATGCAGAAGCATAAAACATGCTGATTATGGCTTGTCTGATAGCCTAAAACAGCCAAAAAGCTGCTGCCCATCTTGCACTCCTCATGAGGGGAGGTATCAGAAGCGAGTGAGATTTTCTGTTCCCTGTTTGTAAAAATAGGAGCTCTGTCCAGCTTTCTGACTTTTCACAGGCTGCTTAGAGACTGAGAAATCTAAGAACAAATGCTACACATTGAGAAGTTTTTAAGATACTGTACTTGAAGCTCAAGCATATTTTCCTTTAATAACCAATGCAGACAGGAAGTCCTGCAGGCAATCCCATTCCAGCAGTGGCTTTTGGGGCACAATACCACATCTTTCTCAGCAGACAGTGAGGACAGAGAGACCAGGAGGGCTTTTCCTCTGCATCTGATCAGCTCTGAGGCATATGCATGAATGTGACGATATGGTTTCTTCCTGCTTGACCTGGCATGAATGCTGCCATCCTGGTACAGTCCTCACATCCGGATGGGCACACAGACACCCTCCCTTGTGCCAATACTTTTGCCTGGCCTTCTTTGAGTAAGGAGCCACCCGTTCCTAGTTAAGTGTTTCATAGAATCACAGGTGGGTTGAGGTTGGAAAGGGCCTGTGGAGGCCATCTGGTCCAACCCCTGCTCAAGCTAGGCCACCCAAAGCAGGCTGCCCAGGACCACATCCAGGTGGCTTTTGAAGATCTCCAGGAAGGAAGGCTCCACAGCCTCTCTGGGCAGCCTGTGCCTGTGCTCCCTCACCTAGACAGCACAGAAGGGCTGCCTGGTGTTTAGGTGGAACCTCCTGTGTTCCAGTTTGTGCCCATTGCCTCTTGTCCTGGTGGTGGGCACCACTGAGAAAAGCTTGGTTCCATCTTCACTGCATCCTCCCTTCAGGTATTTACACACACTGATAAGAACCCTCTGAGCCTCCTCTTCTCCAGATTGAATAGTCCCAGCTCTCTCAGCCTCTTCTCATAGGAGAGGTCCTCCAGCCTCTTCATTACCTTGGTGCTTCTCTGTTCAACTTCCAGTCCATATCTGCTTGCCTCTATCTTACATGTTTTGAACATTCAGTATTCTCAGTGGCAGCTGTGCAGTTCCTCTGCATTCATGGGTCTTCAGAATAAACCTGTCAAATGATCCATCTCCTTGTGCAAGAGTGCATCTCAGACGACAACTTGGCTGTGAGCAAGAAGCAGTGAAACTGTTTTCAAAGTCATCCTCTGACCTTCTGCAGTCAAGCTCCTACAAACGCATGGCAGGTTGCCAGCATTTAGATAAAACTGGAGCTGGAATCTCCTGAGCCCTGAGCAGTACCTGAAGAAGACAAGAGCTGTTCGGAAATTTGCAGTAATGTGTCCCGGCAGCTTGACGGCAGCCCAGAGAGGCGACAATGACTGTGAACAGTGGTGAAAGCAGATCACAGCTTGCTCAGCCTGGGCGCTTCCCTTCCACTACACGCAGTAATGGCCAGCAAGCACATGAAAGCCTCAGCAACACATTTTCGTTGTCAGGTCCATATGACAGATCAACTTAAAAAGCACAACTTGCAACAGGCACATGTAGGCACAGCTGCATAGATATAAGAAAAACAAATTCCTTTATACGAGCTGTAAGGTTCCCTCAGATGTGGTTAGCTTTTTCAGAAAGAACAATGCATCCAAGAGAAAACTGCCAGAGACAGTGCATTGTTAAGACAATACAATCAAAGACTTAAGAGCATTAACTGTTTTGTTTTGTTTTGTTCTTAGTCTGTATTTAATGTTCTTATTGATGTCCTCTAGAAGATATTTGGGACATGGCTGCTCTCTGGTACTAAGACATGACTTCCATAACCGCAAAGAACTTGCTGCAGTGATATTGAGCTAACCTACTTGCAGCTAATAACGGCAGCATTTTCTCACATCTCAGTTTCTTTTTCATCTCCCATGAGAGCCGCTGTCTCATGCCTATGATGATATCTCAGTCACTTACTGTGTTGGCATCTGCAAAGTCACAAGTTCAGCATTCTGGATTAATTGCAAGTTGACTTACAAAAAAAAAAAAAAAAAGAGCTATGAAGGGAGCAGCAGCTCAAACACCAAAGAAATAGTGTATTATTTTAGAATTAAGATAAATAGAACTCAGGGGAATTGAGCATAAGGCCCATAAAGACTTGTGTATTTATCCCTATGTCAAGGGATAACCTTACAAATATTATTTAGATAATTTGATGTCAGCATTAGCCAGGAATGATTAAGCAATTTGCTGCAGCTGTTGGAATATGCTTACAGCTGGTGTCACGAGTCAGCTTGCAAGCACACACCTGAACCCATACTGCTGTGATACAAGAGTTTACTGCACTCAGTTCTGAGTGCTTTTGTGCTTTCAAATAGTGGTGCCCCTTTTAATGCCCTACACATTCATTCATATCATGCACTTCTTGATTATTCACCCCTTCAGGGCTCTTGTAGCCAATGTTACTGAACCATGGATTGTGCCTGAACTAACAGGACACTGGTTTCCACGCACCCATTCTCCGCATAGGCACTTTTGGCATGCATTACATGCAAGGTAGACTATTTTACTTGTCCACACGGGAAGACGGAAAAAAACACTTAAAGTACCATTAACTCACCCTATTTCTCATTTTATCCCAAATTCCCCAACTACACAAACCCTTGTTTACTTAGCCTAGGGAAAGCTACCTTACTTAAGATTCAGTATAATCCCATTAAGTCACTGGCAAAACCAGTGGTAGTATGCTCAGAGCTTCAAATAAAACAACAAAAAAATCAGGCATGCAATGCACTTGAGAGTGGTTAGGAATGGTATGAAGTAACAAGATCAATCATAAAGATTGATCATTAAATCAATAAAATCAGAGATGCCAAATATTCTTCATCAATACAGGAGCTTTTATTCTGGTGGTAGATCCCTATACGTTGCCTAATTTCATTTCAATTGCCTCTGCACAAGGAGCTCTCCCCTGTTCTCACTGTGGGTCCCT